GGCCAAAAAGTACTCGTCATAGAGCCATTGAAACTTTGGGACGCAGTTTAGGGGCACTTGCTCTCGTACCCCAGTAGTAGAGTTTTCCCTAATCTCTACTTTGAAGAGACCTCGATCAAGGATCTCTTCCCCAGCCTTGAGGGGGACAAGCGGCATGCTGCGACCGCCTGCTAGAAGAGGCGGATCCTTGTTCCACCTATTGTAGCGCTTGTTCAGAAACTTGTTAGGGCTGGCAATGATGAGGAAGGTGTTTCTCCAATCCTTCCATTTATTTTCTTTGCCCCTCGTCATCAGATAGCCTTTGTGGCTCGTTATTTGATACCAGTTGGTACTGCTTGCTTTGGGGGTTCGGCTGAGGTAATTCATATGGGTGAACGCCTCAAAATTCGACTCCACCCCATGCATTTCACACCCGGCTACATAGCCAAGGATGTTGAACCAGGAATTCGGGGCTAACTGCCATAGCCCCACCTCATATCCATCGAGGATTTGTTGAACGGCCGGATGCAAGGGAAATCGCAGACCAGCCTTAATGGCCGCCTCATAACAGCCAAAGCAGGCGTCCCCATAGCTGGCTCCAGCTGGCCAAGTGACGACATCTTCAGCATCCGGCACAAAAACTTGGAAATTAGGACCCATCACATGGTCCGATAGAAAAGAGTCTATTCGCTCTTTCATGGCCTTGATGCGGCCCTTTGGGACATGACAGTAATAAGGAGTATTCAACTCCCTATGAGAGGCGGATGGTTCCGACCAGCCGTCCCCCTTTTCAGCCGCATGAGACAGTCTCACCTCATGCAAACGAGAATGCCTTTCCTCTGAATTTATAGAGAGGCGACTTGAAGAGCTAGAGTCAGACTCGCTATCAGAAGAGTCCGACTCCTCCCCTCTCCCTGAGGGGGTCGACCCCTCTTCTTCTTCAGGGGTCGTCTGTTGACTGGCCAGGTCAACAGTGAAGTGGGAAGGGGCTACCTTAGCTCCCTCTTCAGAGCTCTAGACAGAAGGGCCACCTTGGTTCCCTGCAGTATCAGGCAGCTGGTCTGAAAGCTCACTAATCTGAACCCGAAAAGAGGAACCATCAGAGTTTTCAATCCTCTCTGTCTTTTTTGTTCTTGCCATACTGTCCTGCATAAATACAAAGACAGTTGGATTCCGGGACTTACGCAAAGTTTGAAGTACCGTAGGGCAGTCGGCACCCCTAGTCCTAGACTCAGCCGTCCCCGGTGACCGACCGATTGCTAACCTAGGTCTTGCCGGATGCTTTTGAGGTCTCATTTTCAAAAAAGAAAGAAAAAGTGCAAAAGCAAAACAGAAAAAGGATAAAGGAACAGACGACTACCTGAAACTTAATTCCTGAAAGAAAGCTTGATCGAACAGGCGTCCAACAAAAACAGGCGGTTGGTAAAAGCAGTCGTGCAGAACGTCAGAGCTCAAGTTCAGGGGTCTGAGAGTTCTCTTGAAAAAGTTCGCAAATGTGAACAAAAGACTTGGTCAACATGCCCTTATATAGGGTAAAATGAGAATGCGAAGGGTCACTTTTGAATTCAAAAAATGAGCGGAAAAAATGCTCGGCCCGTCATAGGGCGACACTTGTAGCAGGTCGTTGCCTGTTACAGGCCGACACTTGTCACAGGTGACAAGTGAACAGTCACGTGCCACCAGTGAGGGGCAAATGATTAGGGGATTTTTCCCTACTAATCATCATCTGACAAGTGGACCATTCAGGCTCTGCCAAGTGTCCGCCACATGGACCAATTAGAGCCTGCCACGTGTCAAGTGTTGACCAGTCCACCTTAGACCTCTTATGCCACGACACGTGGCCTCCCCCATGCCAAATGGAAAAACCGGCCACCTAGGCCCAAAGTCTTGTGGAAGCCCAATCAGCCCTAGGTTGACCTAAACCTAGGACTGACACGCATCCCAAGGCATATAAATACCTTCATTAATCCTCATTAGAGGGGGAAAAAAGTAATTAATTACTCTCACCTAGAGAACCTAAAACACATTGATCACTCCTCATCTAGAGGAACCAGATCTCCCAATCTTTACTTTTCCGCATTTATTACTCCTCAAATAAGTACTAACTTAACCGTCGGAGGCAGAACTCCCACCACAAGGAGTCTCCGTTGTTTTGCAGGTACAGGCGCAAGGAGACCAGTCCCGGAATTGTAACTCTCCCACATGACATCAAAAAAACCCCAAAACAAAATGCATGGGCCATTCACATATAGTAATGGATGAATAGAATGTATATTGTTTCACAGGTTTTGTGAAAATGGCAACTAGTGGGGCTCGACTAGGATCTTAAATACGGACTGCGATCCGTTATGTATTTTAGTAAATCTAAATACTGTCTGCATACCGTTGCGTATTTTTGTACCTTAATATTTAGATTAATCCTAGTCGTAGTAACTAGTAATTGCATATTTGGCGGAGATGTCTCAAAGGCGACGTTTCTAAGACGACAAGCCAAGAAGTTGCATCAAAGACCATGGATATTTGAAGACTCAAGGGGTCATGCTAGTTGCCAAATGCATCATTTACTTATGTTTTATATATAATTGTGTTTATATATGATTGAATGGTATGATAGATGCATGTTTAGGATTTCAAATGTTGCGATGATTAATTAAGTTCACTTAAATCAACCAACATAGAAACCCTAGGTCCCTATAATTTTGAGCCAAACTTGCCATTCCAAGAACGACACTTATCGAACTAATGCGTGTGGTGATGGACTACGCTAAAGCAAGGCATCACCGCTTCCCAAGGAACGTAAGGTATACTAGGTATACAAGTTGTCTTGGTTAAGCTCAACGATATCAGTAAGGAGTCCTTAGATTTCGTTACAATGGAGATAAAATGTCAAGGAAGCATTAGATGCGACGTTTTTATCGAACCAAGAGTAGCTTAGAGCTATTGGCAATTGGATTGCTTACCTTAAAATATTAAGTGTTAAGACAAGCTAAAGCACGCTTAATCTCTTTTTGATTTTTAGGATCTTAGAATCGATTTATTCTCGCCTAAAAGGGACAAATTTTAATGTGTGGATAAGATGCATAATAAGATTGAAAGTCTGCATGTATGCTTCGAATTTCAAATTTATTATGTTATGAACTTGATAAATGGTTATACTTTGCACTTATATTTTTAGAAATCTAAATCAAATTATATTGTTTTCAATAATTGGTAAAAGAAATCTTTTGAGAATGGTTCTCAAAGAATGGAAAGGCATTTCTAAAATATAACCTCTCATAATTGACTTTTATGACTTAAGTCCAAAAGGACAGTTGGATATCATGTATATTAGGTAGTTTTGATGAACATGAAATATTGAGTTGAAAAACTCAAATTGTTAATAGTTGACAACCATCGTATCTTTTCGCTTCATACACAAATGAGTAGGACTCATTGATGTAGCAATTCAAGTACGAATTGAAGGAAAAGATGGAACTTTGTTTCACGGTGCATTAGATGCTTAATTATGCCTAACAAAGTGTAAAAGTCAAGGCACATAAAGAAATGGTTCTTAAAGTTATGAGATGGTGTATGATAAGAAAGATAGGAAACAAGGAACAAATTAAAGGAAGGAATAAGATTCCTTTTCTACCCATGAGTTCATGTTATTATGGTCAACTTAGCAATTCGTTATCTTCACAAGTATTGGATACTGCTTGAGTGTTCTACTTTGAAAGTGACCTCAAACCATTGAAGACAACCTAAGTTATTGACTTACAAACTTAGAATGAAGCAAGTAGTGCTACATAAGTTGTAAGGTCATTTGTTTTATTTAAAGTCCTTTTAAGCCAAGGTTGGAACAAATAATGGTTATTTGTGTTCCATAATCAGCAAACGATCCGTTTACACACGGGAAGACTCACATTCAATAAAAGAGCAATAGTTGCGGGTTTTATTTGAATGGCATGGTTGTGTAAGCCATGAGTCAAGAATGCTAGATTATAAACAAACATTTCCCTAACATAAAAACTCACAAGGTTCATGTCATGGACATGATTTGTGTTCCAAACATCTTTAGCAATGTCACATTGACAAGAACGTACTCAGGGCTCTATTAGATAGATTCTTGATAGTTGATCGATTCAAAATCGTTCTAAGACAAGCAAGTCTTACTGGTTGAAATCGACAAAGAAAGGAGTCATTGTGCTTGGCATAGACAATTAACTCCAAAAGATAAAGAGGATTTCATTACTTCAACGTCTCACAAGAATTTGAAAGAATGTGGCTACATTCATCAAATGTGAACATACTGGACCTTGAGTAGCTCAAATGTTCAGTGAAGTATAGAATCGATTTGGCAAGATATCAAAACGTCTAGATTAGATCGAGCGATGTTTGCTTGAGCCAAGAGTGATCATATCAAACTTATGAAATTGGACTGAGTTTGAATAAATGGTTTGACTGATTTGTTGACTTAATATGTTTGACTGAACATGGGTTTTAAGCGCTCCCGAGATTAAATACTCGACCCGCTCAATAATGGCGGTGAAAGGTTATTCATCTCCGGGTTTGATTTTGGGGAGACATCCTTTAGGTGTCTACAGTAATTCTAAAGTTTTAGGCGTTTGATTTTTATTTTTATTTTTTTTTACGGCGAAAACGCCCATATTTTTCATAAAACCACACGGTTATATGAAATTTTTGGGCATTTTGACTATCATGCATGGTAGAAACGCCCGGAAAATCTGTATAACCATGTGGGTTTATAAATTTTTTTGTGTGTTTACAACCTTGGTTTTTTTTTTTCAAAAAACGTTTATGGCTTTTTTTTTTTTTTTAAAAAAATCACCACATTTTCTTCGGCGAATGTTCCTTAATTGGTAGTGATTTGTTAGGAGGAGAGCAAATGTTCTCGAGTTAGAGGGTGAAAACCATAGAGCATATAAAAAGATAGATTCGTCCATTTATTTTAAAATGAAAACATTACCAGATAAAATAAGGGCTTCCTTTATCGTTTCACTTTGAAAATTGCGTGCCCAACATCATTCAGGGAAAAGGCTCTTTTCTAAACGTGGACGACAATCACGACATATATAAGACATATAAGGAGACCGGGTCCCCTGCACTTCCTTGTTTTTCTAATTCGAAACCAATCTCTCACAATCAAATCACCCGTACATTATTCAGAGGTGTGAGAAAATGGCATTGGAGAAGGCTCAGCAGATCGTCTCATCAAATTCCGTTGTCGTCTTCAGGTAATCTTTCTTCTCTCTCATCATTTTCGAGTTTTGGTCTTGAATGCATTGTAACGATGGATGTATGTATGATGGTGCAGCAAATCGTACTGTCCTTTCTGCGTTGATGTGAAGAAGCTGCTGTCTCAATTAGGCGCCTCTTTCAAAGCCATTGAATTAGACACTGAGAGTTAGTTCCTTAATCGCCTTATTTTTGCGCATTCTAATAATCGCCTTATTTTTTATCAATTGATGTATATATACCCTAAGTCAGATTATGTTCAATTTTGTTAGAATTCTGTTAAATAAATAATTCTGGGGAAAATAAGGTTTTATTGTTATGGGTTTTGGATTAGGAGTGGAATATTTTATTTATAACTATGGGATTTCTCTTTGAATTGCAAATTTTATATAATTCGAGTATTTAAAAAGAAGCTATAATCGAATCAACCTAGGTTAAAAAAAAACCACATTAGTATGAGTAAAGGTTATGATTAGAGAGAGCCAAAGACCCCAATTCCAGTCATCGTGTTTTTTTGACGGGGTTAGTTGAATGGACATGATTTCACGCGCTTCTGACTCATGAAACCATTTCCAGATTGTGCTCGCTCTCCATTGATTTTGATCATCAATTAAATCAGCTACTTTAACCGATTTAACAGAATCTTTCTGCTGCTGCCATTGTGTCATTTTTATTCTTCTTTCCTGTAACACCAGTCATCCTCAATTGCAGTCGAGTGCCCATCATTAATGTTCTTCCTCAGTCCATCTTTCATCCTATATACACCGTTCAAGATGCTTCTTGCCCCCAAGAAATTGAGGATGGGAAGTTTCTTGACCTACCTTTTTCAAACCTTTTGTTTTTATATTTAGCTTTATAGATTCTGCTCACTTGTAGTTACGCGTTCATCTTCATCTTCCAGCCTTGCGTGAAAACGAGGTCATTATTTAGAGCACTAATGTTTCTTATCCCAAGCCCACTATCATTCTTCTGCATCTCGAAGACTAATGTTTTCTCCAGTAAATTGGCTTCCTTTCCAAGGAGTCAAGGATGAGGACCACCAAAACTTCATAAGCAGGGATCAAATTTTATTCAGGATAATCTTCGGGAGGAGATACATGCTCATAGTATAGCGCGCCATAGCAATGAGGATATCTTTAATGAGAATGATTTTACTGGCTTGAGAGAGGTTTAGGAATTTCGATGTTGAGAGTTTCCCTGTGATTTTTTGGACGAGTTCGCAGATTATACCAGTAGAGCTTCCATCTACGTCTATTGGGAATTTGGGCTTGCATCCAAGATAGACTCTCATATTCTCTTTGTCATTTGCACCCAATACTTTCCAGAGAATGTGTTTGAAACGGGTAGGCAAGTTTCCGGAGAAGATGACTTACGACTTATTGAAGTTAATCATTTCTCTCTACAGTGAGCAGAACTGATCAATAGCGCTCCCTGTTTGCCTAAGGTTGTCAATATTGGCTTAAAGAAAAATTAACGCATCATTCATGAAAAAAGGAGCACATTTTACTACCCTAATGTCATTGAGGTGGCCTAACTCTTGGAGAGAGCTTAGCTTACTGGAGAGTAATTCAATGCAGAGTATGAAGAGATATGGAGAGAGAGAGAGTATCTTTTTGTCATAGACCCACTTTCGGATTGATTATCCTGGTAGGCTCCCCATTCACCAACACTATATAGGATACAGTAGAAACACATTGCATAATCCATCGAATCCATTTCTGGGAAGTTCATCTCTTTTAGAACTTCTTCCAGAAATTTTCGAGCTATTTCTGTCGTATGCTGTGTTGAGATCCACCTTGAAAATGAAATGCTCGTGGGTTTGCACGACTGAATTCTGGAACTGCACATATGTTGTCTGGTTCCAGAAATAACTTGCAGTTTGTATTTTCCTTCAAAAGTAGTTGCTGAACTTCACCATAAATCACCACAGCTTAAAGAAACTTAAGTAGCTTATATTGTAGCCCAAATTAAGTTTTATTCAATAAGGGCAATTAGTGCACCAAAAATATACTACTGTATATTGCTGCTGTAGATTCTTTGGAGTCCATTTGATATCATACTATCATGTCAGTTTCTAGTTGTTGGGTTTTAGTTTTGTAAAGTCATATTATATAGGTTGTATAATAAGCCTTCTTTGGTTGTATGTTTGGGGGAACTCTGCACTTTGTATACTATACTTTCAGCTTCGGACTTACCCACATTTTATTAGTTTCCCAAGGGTATTATAAGCTAGCCCTTCCTCTTAACAGTGGAACTTCAAACTATGCTAAACCTGACAAGATAAGATTAATTGTACTTGAATTCTTATCTCTGTGCATGAAATATACTATTCTGATGAAGTGATGAACCTGTCATCATTGAACATTAGAATCAAACTCATACAATCACACTCCAACAGCTGTGTGCCCTAACTAATGCATTTGAACCAATGAATTATGTATCTTACATATTCTTTATTTTCGGACCCTGACATAAGAGCTTCGCAAACTATTTATTCTTTGAATTCATCAGAGAAAGTTTCACAGACCTCTTGCAATTGCCTTTTTATTTTTTTTATTTTTAAATATTATTATTTTTTATTTTTTATTTTTTTATTTTGTTTATGGTTTGTAACTCATGAGATTCAGAGTTCAGACATCTTTGGGCTTGCAATTTCAGTTTTCCAGGACTTAAATTCTTGAACTATGTATATTATATGTTGTCAGGTCCAGAAATAACATGTTAAGCTTCAGTCTCGTGTATAAAATAATGACTAGCAGCAGGTAATTTTCTCCAAAAGCAGTTGCTGGATTCTACCATAATATCACCACTAGTGTTCGAAAAAGCGCGCCTAAGACGCTGAGGCGCAAGGCGTTAAGGGTTTTACGCCTTTCGTGGTCTAGGTGAAGTGATTTTGATGAAGCGCAGCTAAGGCGCACCTAGGTGCACCAAAAGACAGCTTTAGGATGATTGAGGCACACATAGTGTTTCCACAAATTTTTATATCGTCTACTTTATGTGTCTTGAGGCGCACTGATTCACAGTAACGCACACCTTAGGTGCAAGGAACTTTAAAATGCCTTGGTGTGCCTTGTACTTATTTATACATTGATCACCCGAACTTTAAGAAATTTAAGCAGCTTACTTTTAGCCAAAATCAGAGTTTATTCGGTATTGATGATAAGTGCTCTAAAAGTATGCTTTTTCCTTCGTTCTTTTTTGTTCTTCTCAATATCCATTTTAGGATGTTCTTTTTTGTTTTACTCACTTTGCTATGTTCTATTTATGGCATACCCCTTTACCCCACATTGATTACATCTTTCCGTACTCTCTCTCTTACTTTAGTCTCCATTTTCTTATTCAACCCACCTTTTTCATATTCTTAATTTATCTTACACCTATTCACATTCTTCAACATTTTCTTAAATTGCTTTTTTATAGTGTGTAGAAATATAGAACATAAAAGAACGAAGGTCGTATATTAGTGATGTAGATTTTTTAGCTACTGTATCCTTGCGGGCTGCAAGCTGGTCACTTCTTGCTTAGTTTTATGCTTCCTCCGTTCTATTAATATTGCAACAATGGACTTTTTGCACAATTCATCACTATTGTTTGACCATATAATATGATTTATACGTTAATAAAAATATAGTCATGTGGGATCCTGTTGGATTCGTCTCATAAAATACTTTTACAATATCAACTTTTTATAATTTTTACTCTTACACAATTATAGATATTTAGCATATAAAATATGCTTTGGGATGCGTAATTTCATCCTTGTTGCAATATTAATAGAACGGAGGAAGTATTAGTTTTTATTTTCATTTATCTAACTTGATTATCAAATTGAATAATTCAAATTGAAAAATTTGATTTGGACTTCATGATAAATTGGTACACTGGTTCAAGTATAGTGCTCTTTTTTGGATATAGAAACGCTGCCTAGTTATGCTTATGATTGGTGATTTGTTCTCTTCACCTGAAATAAGTGTTCTGGTTGATTTTTCTGAAGTCAGGTTGATTTAATCTCTGGTTTGGTTTGATCTGATTGTGATTTGATTGAACTTTGTCTTTAGTTGTATGTTAATGTATAAGTAAAAAAAAATCATCTAATGTGGTCTTGTAAGGTTTGTCTTAATGTGTATTTTTTAGATATCAAATGTTCATGTTTTTCACAAATGTGAAATTAAAAAAAAATATTGCAATAAGCAAATGAAAATAATGGTGATAAGTCATTAGTAATTATAATATGATGAACAGAACAGAGCCTGAAATATGTTGGCGTATGGATCATCTTGTTAAGATATTGAAGATACTTTGAGGAATTTAGCCTGGCTTGGTTCCATCATAAGTATAGGTTAGCATTTGATACAGAAACTGATTAGGAGTAAGTGCTCTTTACTGTGTTTACCTCACCCTCATGCCTTAATGTAAAGGAAATATTGTAGTTTACGATAGAACGATAGCATTACAACTTGTTTAAAATCACTAACAAAGCACAAGCTATTTTTCTTGCTACAAGTTGACTACTTGTAACTTTAACCTTCCTCATGTTTTCATTAGTTTCCTAACTCCTGTGAGAATTTTTGAGCTGCTTCAGGAGAATTGAAGCTAGCTCTTTTTCTTTCAAGACAGAACCTCAAAATCTGCAAAACCATACCTGATTAACCTTATAGAACCTGAATCTTTGTGTTTAAGATTCATATTTGTGATTAGTTTTATGTTATCCAACATTAGACTCTAAAATCCCATATATTCTCTAAAAGGTGAAGCTTCTTGCATAATGCATTTGAATCAAAGTTGAAGACTTGAACTACATTGTCCGAACTCCAGACCTAGTGCTGCTGCAACTGGTTGGCATATGGTTTATCCTAAGTATGATACCTGTTATAACGGCTTCATTTGTATAGAATCATGGACCATAGTCTTTATAACGAGGTTTAGAGTTCAGACCCTTGCCCTTGCAGTACTAGTTTTTCAGGATTTGTTGAACTGCATGTATGATATCTGTTCTGGATTTAAAAACTACAGTCTCTGTCTTGCTATAATTTATTGCCTTGCAGCTGACATTTCCCACAAAAAGTAGTTGCTTAAGTCTGTCGCATTGTCCCCATTGCTTGAAGAAACCCTAGCAGCTTATTCTGCAGCCCAAATCAGGTGAAGGCGCATCAAAAAACTACATCATTTAAAGACAATGCTTAGATTTCTTAGCTAGTATAGCTGCTTTGTCCTTTGTGCACTTGTTTTGCTTCTTCAAACTTCAAATGCCATAAAAATTAGCTTCTAAAATGATGCATCATTGCAGAAAGAATTAGAATTCCTATAGTTTTCCTTTATCAACTATTGCTTGTAATTAACGTAGGATAAAACCTGATCGCATCATCTTAACCTTCATCTTCACATACATATGGTGGTTTAGCTGATTGATTAAGTGTTGGTTCGAACCATCACTGTTTATTTTACATGGTACAAATTCATTTATTCGCGGGAGGGATGTATATGAAGGTTTGATGGTTTGCGTATACTTTTTTTGCGTGAACTATTGAATGCCGTGTGGATTGAGTAATGTATATTCCAAAGTGATTCATTTATGGAAAGCCTCTAGATTCCTTATTAACATTCTATGAACTGTAGCTGGACTTCTTACCTTTTGCCAAAAATTACCTTTATTCTTTTTTAATTGAAGCGAATTTTCAATTTATTTTCATTCTACGATGAGGATAAAGGACATGGAATTGAATTGAAAGTTGGATACTTAAGTTGTGGCACCTGTTGACTTTCAGAGTTTGAGCTTCTTTTATCTGTGCTAGTTTTTTCCCCATTTGTTCTTGCAAGTCTGATAGAAGTCTAATTTTTAACTACAAAATTTGCTCAGCATTATCTTTAAAATGCACTTTGTCATGATTGCGTTGCACGTGTTGATTGGGTTACCAATTCAGTGGTAAATTGTGTTTGCTTTTCGTTGTGCATTTTTCTGGGCTAGTGGAGACTGTTAATTTTCTGCTAATCAAGTTTGGTTTTTATGGTTTTGTTGTGTGATTTTAGGTAAGTTTCTAAAGTAAGTTGGATAATACGTAGGTAGAAAGATTATAATGCAATGTAAAATGTCAACTGAGATTGTTGAGTTTGCCTAGACTTTTGTACTGGAGTTGAGCATTATTGGTGGAAATGGAACCCATAGGAACTATCTTATTGTCATCGATTGATGGACCTCATGATACTTTTTTGGCATTGTATTGATTGTTGTTATATATGTAATGTGTTTTCTAGGACAACAGAATATTGTGTTACTCCAATCAGATACTTTTTGATAAAATTCTTATGTTTTATATGTGAAATACTAGGACCTTTTCAGGGATCTAGATAGACTTATGCTTAGCTGGTCGAAAGGGCACAAAGGTAGGTTTGTTAGGGGATTATTCAGATCTAGGAATAAGTCTTACTGGGAGGAAATGTGTTACCATTGAGCTAATTGGTCATATTCTAAAAAGATTATTGTTGATGAGGTGTCTTTTTCCGTCAGTGTTTTATGTTGGAAGTGTCTAAGTTAAGGCTTAAGGGTTGGATGGTGGGTGTGTGAATTTGTTTGGCAGTTGATAGAGTGTGAATTTGTTTGGCAATTAATAGAGTATGAACTTTGAAGACTGGGTAGGCTAAAGTGGTATATGAATACAGGTTGAGGTATATGATCTTAATAGATGAAATATGTGTACAGCTGTATGTCATAAAATTCAACCAGCTTTACTCCAGGTTATTATCAGAAAACATGTATTCTTGTTAGAGGAAGCCCTTCATACCTATGTATAAGACACACATTGCAATGTCTATATTTTCTGTGATATGACTAGAGCTCAACTGTTCCATAGAAATCCTGACAGGCCTTGCAGTATGAAGGGAAGATGATTAAAGGTACTATTATGTCAGAGGAAATCTTACAAAAATAAAATTGTGCTGCCTCTAGGACATGTCGCCATTGACAAGGAAGCAGGATGCTTCTGTAATGTTGTTCTAGTTCTTCTAAGTCCTCTTCTTGATCCAGTGTATAAAATAACAGAGTTTCAGCGTGCATTATAGTTTTTAAACATTTTATAACTAAGTTGCGGTGGCAGGAACGAATACTAAACATTAGCCTTAGAATTTTCAAATGTACATCATGTCATTATCCCCCTCATACAGCCATAGTAGCTATTTTTCACCCTTGTTGGTTGCTTTATTTTTGTTATGCTTTTCTACATGTTTGGCACCTTCATCAGTAGAAGGCACTGATTTAATACCATCATCAAGGCTCTGCACTAAATGATTTTTGTCAACCTAGCTGGAAAAAAATACGTAAAAATAACAGTGCTGGCTGTGTTGACAGAATTTCGTTATTTTCTATGCTTTAACACAATCAATACTTTGGCACTATACTGCCTTGGCAAATACACCTCTACAGCAGTGGATAATAGGATTACTGATTAAAGATTGTAAACAAGTCAATACTTATTTGTTATCTCAACTTGATCGATGCTGGATTTCCTTTGAATTGCATCCTTTGTTCAACAAATAGATTTAAAATGGCACAAGTAAACCTGGGCACGGGCCGGGTTGACCCGCGTGCCGCCCGGCACGGCCCGCCGTTCGGAGCAGCCCGGCACGGCCCGAAGTCAAGCACGGCACGGCACGAAGTTCGACTTCCGTGCCACGGGCCGTGCCACGGACACGGTGGAGAATTCCCAGGCACGGCCCGGCACGAGCACGAGCAAGGCCCGCCGTGCTGGCCCGCAGGCACGGCCCGAAGGCACGGCCCGCAAGCACGGCCCGCGGGCCAACGGCTAGTTAAACGGCTAGTTAAACGGCTATAAACGGCTAGTTTTTTGCCAAAAATTCTATAAATACTCACCTCCATTTCATTCCCAAATCACAAAATCACAATCTCTTCTTCTTATCTCTTATATTCTCTAAATCTCTAATAATCCTTATTTTCTTAAATTCTCTAATTATTCTCTTAAATTCTCTAATTATTTTCCTAATATCGGAAAAAATTAAAAAGTTCGTAATCGTAATTAGTGGAGCGTTGAAGCACGGTTGTAAGATCTAAACTAATCTTAAATTTATTATTGTTTTATTGTTATTATTAGAATAATCTTGTTTAATTATTATTGTTGTTAATTGTTAATTTGTTATTGTTGTTGTTATAATTGTTGTTATTAATTATTATTATTGTTACAATTGTTGTTATTATTTATTTTTGTTGTTATTGTTATTGTTATAGTTGTTGTTATTAATTATTATTATTGATATTTTTATTGTTAAAATTATTGTTATTTATTGTACAATTTTCTCAACTCAAGTAATAATAATATAAAGTACGCATTATTCACATCCAAAGTCCAATTTGCCTTTTTTCCCCGTTTTGTTACAATTTGTAAATTCATATTAAAAAAAAATAAAATTATACCAATTACTAATAAATCATAAACATTAAATTTTAAAGTAATAGTATAAAGTAAATATATAAATATAAATATTGAATATACAAATTATAAAACATAAATATTCAACTTATAATTATAAAATTCATAACTTAATAACTTATAACTTATAAGTTATAAACTTATAAGTTACCTTATAAAACTTATAATTATAATTTTATAACTTATATACATTATAAACTTATTAATTAATAATGTTGTCATTAAAAAAAAAAAAAAAAAAAAAAAAAAAAATTGAAAACTGCACCAGCCCGCAGCCCGGCACGTGGCCGGCACGGCACGAGCCCGCCAGGCACGAGGGCCGTGCCGTGCCATGGGCTGGCCTGTGAAAATGGCCGGCACGGCACGGCACGAAATCCTGGGCCCGCCGGCACGACCGGCACGGCACGAACCAGCCCGCGGCCCGCCAGGCACGGCCCGCGGCGGCCCGGCACGGCACGGTGCCCAGGATTAGGCACAAGTTTAGAATTAACTAATATATACTTTTGCTTTTTTTTTTTTTTTTTTTTTTTTTTTATTATTATTTATATTTTTATTATGGGGTGTCATGCAAAGTGGAAATCTTAGCTTATAAGTTTGACGTGTGTGGTGTAGGTGACGGAAGTGAAATACAGGCAGCACTCGCTCAGTTGACTGGACAAAGAACTGTGCCAAATGTGTTCATTGGTGGGAAGCATATTGGAGGATGTGATGGTACAAGTCTAACTTGCTATGTTATTTCTCTATTATATTTGCTATATATTATTACTATGTGAAGCAAATTGTGCTGAAATTTTCTGATTTTTGGATTCACAGTTACTACTACCTTGCACAAAGAAGGGAAGTTAGTGCCTCTGTTGACTGAAGCTGGAGCTGCCATCAGCAGTGCCTAATACAATTTACCTAGACAATGATGAAGGTGTCTATTATAAGGAACTAGAAAACTGAGCGTTGTGCTTCTAAATAAGGCCATATATCCTGGTTGACAAGTATTGTTATCTTATTAATAGCTGTTGTATCTATACTTGTTTTTACTCCGTATTTATTTCTCGATCATATTATGTGTTTAGTTCATTGATTTGGTTGTCTCTGTCCGGTCTGTCCCTGATGTTATGAAGTGTATGGCTCGAGATTTAAAGCTGCCTTGAGACATTCCTCCCAAATGGCACGAGAAAAACATATGAATCAAGCTATGTTGCGTATACCTGGTATACATTAAAATTATTTTACACCAGCTTCTCAATCATGATATCTGGTTTTAAATTGTTCTTCAAATGAACAAGTTCTACCAGCGCTTTGGGCTTATTCCCCTTGTATCCAACTAAATGAGAATAATTACTTGGATTATGCACTGGGAAAAAGCCCGAAGTGCTGGTAGAACTTCTCATTTGAAGAACAAACTAGATATCATTTTTGTAATAGAAACCAAGACGAGTAACTATAATAGCAAAAGGATCAAAATATATATATATTTTTATTTATTTATTTTATTTTATTTTATTTTTTGTTTTGTGCAAAAGAGTGGCAAGCCTCAAACAAAAACAAACGCAAACACCAGAACTAAATTAGGCAAAGATGGATTCTAAAATCTTTGCATTTCAATAATAAGTTAACTAGCGTGTGTTCCAAGCGATGCACTGGATTTTACTTAGAATATCAATAAATATTGTTTGAGCTATATAATATACACTATATAATTAAAATAAAAGTGAACAATAATAACTATGAAACTAAATAAGTGCTCTCAAATTGTTGTTTAATACAAATTATTTAGTATATTATAATCAAAGATAAAACACAATTAAAAGATAGCAAAGATGGTAAGGACATGAATTCATTTCTTAGTGGTCTTGTGTTCAAACCTTGTAATAAACATTTTTATTGCCATTAAAATATGTTTATAGTATAATTGATGATGTGGCATACAATACATGTGGAAGGTGATGTGGCATAGATCTAATACATGTGAAGGGTGTCACGTGACATATGTTGGAATATTAAAAAGGAAAAATTTTCAGGAAGTATCCGCTTAATAGGTCGTTTTGTCAACAACTACTCGCTTAAAAGTTTTATAAAAAATTATCTCAAAACTTAAAAAGTTTGAATGACACTACCAATTTTGGTTTTTCGGTAACAAAATCAGGTGAGTGGGGCTCACTTTAATTTTCCCTCCTAAACTTAAGGCTGAAATGACAAATTTGCCCCTAACTTCATCAACTAAGCCAACGATGTCCTTTCCCTTGCATTCACTCTCTCTCTTTCCCCCTACTTTCTCCTTCACTGGACCACATATAGGAAGAATCTGATTCTTCCATCAGCATCATCTTTCTCACACATTTTTTTTTCTTCAATCTTTTTCCTATGCATCAAACACATCCATTTTCATCCGCCAATTTCTAGTCATTATCAATTTGTTGAGGAAAAACATAGCTTAAATAGATAAAAGCAAACTGGACAAAGATGAAAAGGAGAAAGCTAAAGTAGATACAATAATTGAACATGGCAAAGGAAATCAAAGGTATGAAAAATTTAGCATGCTGCAATTGAAAATTTTCACATAATTTGGAAGCGAAAAAAATGTATTCTCATAACTCTAACTTAGCCATCACAATGAAAACCCCAATTTTCCCCCAATTTTGCAAAATCCCAACTATTTCAACAAACCTTAAGTTCGTTGTTAATAAACCGTAAAAACAGAATTCAAAATTTAACATCAAGTTAATTAGAATCATTACATACTTGTTAATTAAACCCCCAATTACTTTTTCCTTCTTCAATTGGCAACATTTTGAAATCTTGTGTTTTTAGATTGAGTCTTTGCAAAGAGAATGTGTGATGAAGGATATTTCACGTCGTTTGATGAGACACCCAACAATCAAACAATATTTGTAACACTCAACTAACCTAATACAAGTATATGGCAAGAAAAGGGATCGAACCACAGGGACGACATAAACACTATCAAACACCACCAACAATTAAGATAGATCGAATCAGTGGATTAAGAAAACTAACACTAAAGGAGAACACCAACAAGAGAGAACAATAAATAAACAAAGGAGATTGGATCAAAATAATCATGCAAATCAAACAACAATCAAGAGTTAAGCAAAATAGAAAACATAGTGAACTAAGTTAACATGCTTATCGATTCAAGATACAATCTACTAGCCTATCGGTAGCAATTGATTTCTCTAAACATAGCATTCACGCTATCGCCTTAAACCCATATATATATGTAGGGTTTCGTAGTGCCCCGACACTACGCGGAAGGAAACCCACCAAGACCCGCCCCTTAATTAAAGCAATTAAACAAGCATAATAAACATAATCAAACAAGATTAAGGACAAGAATTATTCTTTTGACGCGTGCTTCGCTCCTAAAGAGCTCTTACTTCAAAATCCCGAAAAGACGAGATCTCTGACGGATTGTACCCTCGACCCGATCCGAGCGTCCTAAGTCTTGAAGGTTAGTCAAGACCTGGACAAAATAACTATGAGTTTTACGAATCAAAGGTTTACTCTTTTCTTAGAGTTGCCTTTTTAATTCCACTCAAGGTTGTATCAATTCCCAATGCCAAGCTTGGTATTTATAGGGAAATGATCCCTTGATTTTTCATCCTCCACCAATGTGGGAGAATATATATTTGCTAATTAATTTATTTCTAAAATAAATTATTAAGCAAAACTAATCACAATGCGACAAGTGTCAAATAGAGAGAGAAGGTTAGATGAGGACCATAAATGGGTGGGGGACCATTGCCTTGTTCCTCAAGGCCTTGCCCAAGCTTGGTCCCCACCCCTCACCAAAACCGTCACCCTATGGACAGCTGGGCTGGCAGCCTGCCTTGGCTGCCAGCTGGCGCCTAGCACCAAGGCTAGGCAGCCAGCCAACTTGTTGTGCTAGCAAGCAGTGCTGGCGCGCACTGGCCTAGCACGCATCAGCCCTAGCACGCTGCGAGCTGCTGGGCGCTGGTGCTGCTAGCCTAGTGCTGCTGCCTAGCACTCCCTCGCACACACTCTCGCACATGGCCCCTCGCACTGCCAGCCAGCTAGGCCAGCATGCGCAGATCCAGCCAGCGCACTAAGCACGCAAGGCCTAGCATGCGTGCTGCTAGCGAGCCACGCATGCTGGGCTTGGTGCTCCTTGCTAGCATGTTGTGCTTAGTGCTGCCATGCAAAGGCACGCACGCAAGCACACAGCTAGGTGCCTCATTGCGAGGCTGCTGGGCGATGGTGCACATGCACACGCACACACGCATGTGCCTAGCACTACGATGGTGCTGTGCGTGATGCTAGGGAGTTGCGAGAGCGCCTATGCACACACACGCACACGAGGGTGCTGTGCTTGGTGTGATAGGGTTGCGATGGTGCGAGGCATGCATGCACAAGCCCATGCGCCAGTGCCTAGCACTGCGATGGCTGTGCATGGTGCGATGGGCTAGCGATAGCACCCATGAGCACCCAGGCACCCTCGCTAGCACACTGCTAGCTGCGATGGGCTGCCTGGTGCTTGTGTGGCTTGCGATAGCTGCCCTGCGCACCCAGGCACCCATGCTAGCTTGCGATGGGCTGCTAGGGCGCGCCTAGGCTGCGACGGTTCCTAGCACACCATGGTGCGCCTAGCACACACATGGTGCACCTAGGCTTGCGATGAGCTAGCCTAGCCTAGCTACGGCTACGCTCATACTTGTTGCTTGTGATTTTACGACGCTCGATCTCGACGCCCTAGGCTCGATTTCCGACGTCTGTATTCGTAAAACTCTGTCGACTCATTAAATCCTTTCGGATTAATTCGACGTCTCGGATCGGAGATTCTATTGGGTTCGACCTGAAGGATTCAGTTAAAATTAAGCTGTAATATCAATTGTACCTTGATATTACTGATCGGAAGCGGCCTCCACCTAGGCATTCCGATCACTTGATCTTACTGAAGAATTAGCTCTGTAATAATTCTGAACCCTCTATCGGAATAATACACTTGTTGGAAGGACACCATTCCTTTCAATATAGAGGTACAAACAAGCGCAAATCGATCAAATGAGATACACTAGGTTCACTATTGACGATCCCTAGCTTCATTCACCCACAAATCACATATAATTTGCAACTTATAAGAAAAATGTGGTTCAACGTGCATAACAAATAATTTAATCACAAATAAACCAAAATCCTAACTCCTAAACATGTTTGAATCACAAATTAATCATCACCAAGCTCCCTAGTAAGAACACTACTCAATAAGCATGATCAACAAACTAAAATTGTAGGGAATTTTTCACCTCGCCCTACATGTAGGTCATGTTTTTAAGCATGGCGGCGCTCCAAGGAAAAGAAGCTAGAGATAAGGGTCATCAATAAGTTTAAGGAACTTGTAAACCGTTCATGATTATGAAGGTTACACCCTATTCACAATCACAGAGATTGCTAACTCCATAGTGGTCTCGAACCATGACTGGATGTTCGAGGATGATGGCACGAACTCAATCTAAAAGATCAAACCCGCACGAAATAGGCCTCTACTTGATTCTAATTGATATTCATGCGCGCTTTTCGATTAACATACATACATCGAATTAGCCCTAAACCTTTTTAATCTACGTTGGTTGATTATTAATGCACAAATAAATCTAATAATGGTGATCACTTTAATTAAAATCATATTAAGCCTAAATCTAATTATTAATTATCTTATTAGGCGTGATTTCAAGTACAAATTCCCTTTAAACCTGCAAAAAGGGGCGTGATCAAGCAAAAACAATAAACCATAATAATCAAGCAACATATGACTAAAATCACAATTTATTTGGGTAAAGACCTCAAGCCACGTGGTCCAATAAGAATCTGACATGTGGTAACATAGGAAAGGGCAGCCTTTGGAGCCCAATTCCCGAGAAAGCTGTAAAACTGCGCAGCCCACTAAATCTAGGTCAAAGTGACCAAGATAAGGGCGCATTTCCCATGACCCTTTAAATAGGGAGATTTACCCCATTTTGGGGATACGTTCATTTATTACTACTTAATTAATTCTCTCACATTAGAGAAAACACCAGATCTCGGGATCCGAGAAGATCTACTGTTACCTTTCGC